GAGCCTGGGGTGGGGGCCTTATTTTCAGGAGGATGCCTTATATTTCACTCAGAAGGAAACCTATAAGTAGGTCTTATTTTCGGAGGATGTTTTATTTTCGGGGAAACACGGTAGTTTCTGTGGGAACGATGGCAGGAAACGCAGGACGGTGGTTACATTAAGATTGGGAATCGTGTTCTGGGTCCTTCCCACCACTGAAGAGTTTTCCGTCCTGGGTTAGGCCCTGTCTCTGGGTGCTCGGCTCTTCTCCGAATTTGCGGCCTCCACCCTCCCCCGTCCCCCTCCCCTCACCTGTCCCTCCACTCCGAGCCCCGGGCGGGGACATTTCACTGGGCTGCACTGGGAAACCATGGATGATGGAACACTGTTCCAGTGCTCGCTTCCCTCCTCCTAGTCCTGCTGGGTTTTCTCCTTTTCCTTCTCTCGGTTTTATTTGTGCGCTTTTTCTAACTCAGACACATGCTAAACACCGGCCCCTAGGCAGGCCCGAACTGCCCATTTTCCAGTCGCCGAATGTGACAGCGAAGGGGAAGGAGTCGCGTTTATGGTCAGGAACGCATGTGAGCTCAGCAAAGAGGGAGGGCTGAGAGTCCCCCTTTGTTGAGGCAGCAAAGTTGAGGTTTACCCCTTCCCCACCCCCAAATACCAGCATGCTATTGGGTGCGGAAACACAAGTGACCTCTCTGATGGTGTGGCCCCCCCATAGCTCCTGTGCCCCACTGTGGCCCCTGGTTCTCCTCCTGGGAGGGAGCGGGGCATTGGCTGCCCGTCCCCAGTAGCAGTGCCCGTCCCCCGGTAGGAGAGCCCGTCCCCCGGTAGGAGAGCCCGTCCCCCGGTAGGAGAGCCCGTCCCCCGGTAGGAGAGCCCGTCCCTCGGTAGCGGCGCCGTGTGCAGGTCAGCTGCTGGGGTAGCACAGACTGCCTGCAGCGCGGCGGATTAAAGGGTTTTTGTTGAGGCAGAGCAGATGGACAGGGAGCAGCAGAGTTCACATTAACCCGTCATAAATCAGGACGCCTGTAAGAGGGAAAAGTCTGGCAGGGGGTCAATGAGGAAAAAGGGACATCTGTAATACTTTCAACAGTAAAGGTTAAAAATAAAAAGAAATCTGAGCCTGGTCACTTAGACGTTTGAGCGAATTTAATTTATTTTTTCTTAGAAAAGCGCCTGGTGCCCATTTTAAAAACCAATGTGAGGAATTAAAGAAGCGTGTGCCAGACAGAAAGATAAACCCCACGTGCCCAGGAAGAATTGCTGTCACCCCTTTCAGTCAAATCCTTCCGATTTTACCCTGTCTGCTGCTAACACACGCATGCACACACACACACACACACACACACGCACATGCACACGCACACGCACACGCACACACATGCCATTATTATTTAATAGGAATAAACATACTCTTTAGATATGGACAGAAGGTTGTATCCAGGCCTCAAAGACCAGAATACCAGCGTGATGGTTTGGGCCAGGCCACCAGCATACATTTGAGTAATAAAACCAAAGACAACGTGTCAACTTACGTTTGGGAAAGTTGGGGCAAGCTCCAAGGAAAAAGTGCAGAGGGCCGGCTGAATTTACGATCTTCCTGCCAGGAATGCCCCGAATCTCCCCAGAAAGAGCTGCACGTCTTTTGTGTGTGCTTGTCCTGTCGCCCCCTAGTGGTTGGAGGAGACCTGTTCGGGCTGGAAGAGAAGGCTGCGCATTGGACGCTCTCTCGGCCCATTTCTAATGATCTAATGTTTGGATCGGTGCCCGTTCTTTATTCACTCTGTCAACATATTTACCAAAGCCCAAGACAGGACGAATGCTTGAGCCTCGTAGGTCTCCGGCACGTCAGGGCTCAGGTCATTGAACGGACTGTTGGCACCGTGCTTTATGACAATGGGACACTATCAGATGCTCACCTCGTGGGGTGAGAGAGTACTCATTCCTGGAGAGGAACTAAGGTTGGTGAGCCTGTCACCAGCTGCGACGTGCTTTCTAGAAGTCATTAGTGCTCGCGGACAGTTCTTTTAGTGCCAGTTCTACTTACTATGACAGAATTTAATTAAATATAAAAATTAGCGAAAACCTAACCCAGTGGAACCTACTACAGCTGTTTCAGTGGAAGTAATTGGAATGCTTTAAAATGTCTCCATGGTGCTGACTTACTAAAAAGACACCGGGGGTTAAGTTATGTGAAATACTGTGGAAAATGGTAAAAATCTAGAGTTGTACACTCCGATTATTCCCGTTAGTGTCTTTAAGTTATTTCCAATGCTGAAGGAACAAAAGCTAGGAATCCTCACTGGTGTTGAATGAAGGCAGGAGTCAGTATTACTATTTCTTTCCTCTCTTGGGAGTTAAATGGGCTTATTACAAGATTTAACTCCTCTCTTGGGAGTTAAATGGGCTTATCATAAAGATTTCATGGTGCTGCTCCCTCATGCGAGAATTGGATCCGTCGTCATGATGAGGTGCTGGACACAGGCCCTGGCAGGCCAGTTCCACCTTCGTCTCTGTTCCCTGCTTTCCTGCCATGTTTTTGTACCGTATTTTCTGGCGTATAAGACTTTTGAAACAAAAAAAAGTCAATCGAAAATCGGGGGCAAAAGACCAAAATTGCACAAAAGTTACCTGCAGATCTTGACGGCAAAGTCAGTCTTTTCTTTGAAGTGGGGGGTAGTCTTATACAGCGAATGTAGGTCTCAACCTATGTTTTAACTGTAAAAATTAGGGGGTCGTCTTATACGCCGGAAAAACACGGTACTTGCTAAAGGAGCACACGTGTGTCCCACTCATGAGCTCTCCCACCTCTGTGCCTGCTTCCTTCGTCTGGTTAATTCTGGCCTCGCCTCTCCTGTGGAGCATTTGTCCACACCTCGTCGCCCCCCCCACCCCCTTCACTCATTATTTACTCTCGCCTCCACATGAAGGTGAGCTCCCTGGGTCCCAGCCCTCAGACTGTGCCTGGCATACAGCAGGCGACCAGGGCTACAGTGCTGGAATGTTGCTTGGATAGTCGGTGCCTTCTGTGTGCTGAGCACTGTTCTAGATCCTTCTTCAAATGGGGACTTGCCCTCCTTCCTGGCCCCTCAGCTCACTGACTCACTCCCATCACTTCACACACTATTTTGCACCAGCAGCCTCTGTCTGGCTGTCTTTCTCACTAGCACATGGGATAGCGAACTACAGCTGGTGGGCAAAGTCAGCCCAGTTTGTTTTATTACTTGAGGCCTGGTGCATGAAATTCATGCACTTGGCTGGGGGGGGAGGGTGTCAGCCTGGTCTGCGTCCGGGAGCCCTCGGGGGATGTCCTCAGCAGTTGGACATCCTTAGTGCTGCTGCAGAGGTGAGCGAGGCTCCCACTACCACTGTGCTCCCCCTGTGGGAGCACACTGACCACCAGGGGACAGCTGCTGCGTTGAGCGTCTGCCCCCTGGTGGTCCGTGCGCATCATAGCGGTTGGTCATTCCACCATCTGGCCAAAACAGGCTCTCCTACATCTGCTGAGGGGCCCCAGATTGCAGGAGGGCGCAGGTCAAGCCGAGGGACCCAACTGATGCACCATCGGGGCTAGGGAGGAACCGCCCATCTCACTCAGTCCCAAAAATTGTCCAGACCTCAGCAGCAAGCTAACCTACCAGTTGGAGCATCTGCCCCCTGGTGGTCAGTGCATGTCATAGTGAGCAGTTGAGTGGCCTTAGCATATCGTTAGCATATTATGCTTTGATTGGTTGAATGGACGACTGGACAACCGGACACTTAGCACATTAGGCTTTTATTATATAGGGTTTTTTTTTTTTTTTTTTTTTTTTTTGTATGGCCTGGGAGCTGAGGATGGTTTTTGCACTTTATAATATGGAATACAGAACAAAGCCTTTGGCAGGGAGACCGTGGTTGGGAGAATTGCAAACATTGTCTAATGGCCAGGACACGCCACACGCCACACTGTTTACTGTCTGGCCCTGAGTGGCACTCCCCGCTGACTCCTGCCTGAGGCACTCCTGCCTGAGGTTTTAGGACACGGGGTCCCTGAATTCCGAGGTGCAGCACTCAATGGGCGTTTTTGAGTTGAAAATAAGAACTCACTGTGTCTTATTCCTTCCTCCGGAGTCAGATGTGGATGTGAAAACCTGTGGGACTAAGGGCGTCTCTGAGCCTTTGTCCTCATGTGAAGACGAGATAATCATGCCTTCTCCTGGTGGCCACCCCGAGGGGTAAACGAAGCCACCCACATGCCAATATCTGTTCCGTGGTTAGCACAGAATTAGCATTTAAAATTTATTTTATTATTTTTTAGTTTAATCTAAAAAATAATTTTTTTTTTTAAAATTGATTTTTAGAGCATGAAGAAGGAAGGGAGAGAGAATCATCCATGGAGAGAGAAGTATTGATTGGTTGTCTCCCATACACACCTGGACTGGGGATCGAACCCGAAACCTTTCCATGTAGGGGATGAGGCTCCAGCCTGCTGAGCCACCCGGCCAGGGCAGCCCAGAACCAGCGTTCAATGTTAGCTGTTCCAGTTTTGTTCAGATAAACATCCAGCAAAAGTAACCTGATCATAACCATATAAACCAAACTATATAGCAGTTGCAAATTAAAAAAAAAAAATAAAGATTAGTCCTTTTGGGTTAGCTTCTTTCTTTTTGAAAATTAAGAGCAGCCTTTTGACCTTTTCTCTCTCTTTTGTAATATCTGTGGGTTTTCTTTTGGGGCTGAATGAGCTTCTTAAGATGCGGACTTAGGGGGTTTCTGAGACACCGTTAAGACAGAAGATCTCACTGTGGGACGTGGGCACTTCCCAGGGCTCTGGGGGGTGGGGGTAGTTTCTGGAGCCATTTCTGCCGCCCGCACACCTTTCTCAGAGGGGCAGCAGGTGATGTGGAGGGCAGAGGGAGGCAGGGGTCATCCTTCTGCCATCCGCACTGGCTCCGAAGGCCGCTGGGCCCTCTCTGAAGACGTGGAACTGGAATGAGTTCAGACCAATGAGCCTTGGTCCTGTTTCTTTGCAGGGACCGTGAAGGTGAAGAGTGCCAACATCCAAGTGGGAGACCTTATCATCGTGGAAAAGGTGAGGGGTCTCTGCTGTGGTGTAAAAGGGAAGTCCCTGCTCGCACATCACGATGCTGACGTGCAATCTGTGGTCGGATCGGATGCATGCTGTCTGCAGGTCCATTCAGCAGCTCTGCTGGCGAGAACAGTCTCTTTTTCCTATGAACATTTTTTCACGTTCAGATGTGTGGGTTAGCTAGAAATCCTACACACGTTTTGATTTCCTGTTTGATGTTCTTTTATTTTATCTTTTTTTTTTTTTAAATTTACCATGAAGACTTTCTAAGAAGTCTGTTAACGACATAAATGTGTTTGTCATTTGCCTTTTGAGCAATTTTAGCTTGCATTTAAAATAATTAAATATATGTCTATATATTTTATAATATTAATTTTTAGAGAGAAAGGAATAGGGAAAGAGAGAGAGAAAAATCATGGATTGACTGCTTCCTGCAAGCCCCCTACTGGGGATTAAGCCCACAAACCAGGCATGTGGCCTGACTGGTTTCGAATCGAACCTGTAACTTTTTGGTTCACGGGATATTGCCCAACCAACTGAGCCACATTGGCCAGGACGTAGCTTGCATTTTTTGACTTAAATATCATGCTTTTCAATAATTTTATGGGGAGCAGAGGTTACTAGGAGAACGGTAAAAAGGCAAAAAAATACATTTTTAAAAATAGCACTGCTGATTGGCATCTGACTTCAGCGGATACTCGCATCTCTCTTTACTGTGCTGTGCGGAAGGTCCTGGGTTTTGAGGGTGGCTCTGGAGAGTCTCAGGGTAACGTTTGGTTAGGAAAGGAGTGTGTCTGCGCTGGGTTCTGTAGGGAGTGAACTGCGCTTCAAAGGATTAAATCCCGGAACTCAGAGTTGATTTGCGGGAAAGGGGAGCCCTTCTGGGCGGCCGCCGGAGGAACCACATCCCTGAGCTCTGCACAGCCTCTCTGTCCACAGTTAAAGGAGGCTGCTGTCCGCCTCACACTCTCTTTTGGAGAATGGCCTTTGTTCCCTCCTGTGACTTGACTTCCTTATTAAAATGCCCTGGAAGCCAGACCTCCAGCTGGGAAATAGGCAGAAGCAGAGAGCTTGAGCAGGGAGCGCGAATCTTTCCTTTCTGGGGACAGCCTGGACCAGAGCCAGCAAGGGCATGAGGCCGGGGTCCCTGGCCGGGATTTTGGGAGGGAATGGCCGGGTTTGCTAGGAAACCAGAAGCTCTCTTTCTGAGATAGGATTTCAGCAGCAGATTAGAAACGGAACAGCAGTGTGCGAGTGTGCAGATTCAGAACAAAATAAACCCGCCCGTCTGTCTTGGACAGAGGCAGACCCTGAAAAGACGCCGGGGAGGGGGGTTCCGATGGCTCCTCCCCACGGGGGGGGGGGCGGGGCGGAAACCCACCTGGGACGGTCCTTGGTAACGGCCCTTCTTTCCGTCACAGAACCAGCGGGTGCCTGCTGACATGATCTTCCTGAGGACATCAGAAAAGAACGGTAAACATCTGGGACCAATTCTGAAAATAACCATTAACCTTTCAGTGGCAATTTGGCAAAACAATCCTTCGACAATGTGGCTAAAGGAGATGATCCTTTTGGAGCCACAGGGGCAAATCCAAACAGCCCTTCTCACAGAGCAGCCCTAAAAAGAGCTTTTCCGTGCTCGCAGGTCAATGGATCGTGACCATTACAAAGATACAGTTGGTTGGACCCCTGCTGAGTCCCAGCTGGTGAAGTCACACACATACACACGCACACACATACATTCATGTACACGCACGCGTGCGTGCACACACATGCACGCGGATATAGGCATGCTCGCACGCGCTGCTTTCCCTCCCTGGGCTTTGTGAGGCTCAGCTCCAGGAGTGGGCAGGAGGAGGGAGAGCGTCTGACAAACAAAATCCCCCTCTTCCGAGAAGATACTGGGAGGTGTGTGATGAGGGGGCAGGAGGGCACCGGGGAGAGAGGTGGGTGTCCCTCTGGGCCCTGAGTCCTGAGTGGCGGGGCCAGGGCCACCTTGCCCATCAGTTTGCTTGTTGTCCCAGCCCAGTGGGCTCGAGCACCGCTCCCACCTTTACAGGCCCCTCTCTCCCTGCGGTCTCCCGGCATGGCTGCCGCCGCCTGCCCACCCCATCCGTCCGTCGGCTCACGTCTCCTCTCTCTTTATTTTTTTTTTTAATTTATTTTTTTCTTTTTAATATATTTTATTGATTTTACACAGAGAGGAATTGAGAAGGATAGAGAGTTAGAAACGCCGATGAGAGAGAAACATCGACCAGCTGCCTCCTGCACACCCCCCACTGGGGATGTGCCCGCAACCAATGTACATGCCCTAGACCGGAATCGAACCGGGACCCTTCAGTCCTCTTCCACTGAGCCAAACCGGCTTCGGCTCTCTTTATTTTTGATATTTAAGCTGTTCCAAGGAAGCAAGGCTGTTTTTCTCTCGCCTATCCGGCACAATCGGAAATCTTTGAACCCCCGAGAGATCCACATTGATATTCCTTTGAGGTTACGGCAGCCTATTTCATTACAAATGGAATAAACGCAGGGATGAAATCTTACACTAATCGTATATGAAGCCGTGCGGAGAGGGGGGTGGGAGGCACAGATGAAAGCAGCCTTCTTTGCAAAACCGAGGCTTTGTCCTCAAATCGGTCCCGAGGCCTGGTCCGTGGAAACGGAGTGGTGGGGAACAGGTTCCCTGTAGGGCTCTCCCTTTCTAAAAAACCCCCAAACCCCCCCCCCCCCCAAAGATAAGTACCTCCCAGAAGCCTTCAGGGCAGTGCCGGTGAGTACCGTGCCCGCCCCGTCCGGTGAGCTGCATGGCCCGCCTGGGGCTTGGACGCACGTGTCAGACCCACCAGCGCGCCCACACGGGGGGGGGGGGGGGGGTGGCGCGAGGCGGTGACTGCCCCCGCCCTGCCCAGCGCTCCCTGCTGTGCACGGAAAGCGTTCCTCTCCATCCTCACACTCCAGGAAACAGGCTCAGACAGGACCTGCAGCTAGTGAGGGTTGGAGCCGGATTTGAACCCAGGAAGTCCGGCTCCTGAGAAGGTGCTTGTACCCCGCGCCCAGAGCAGACCCGGATGCTGGTGATCTCAGGCCGCCTCCCCGCCGGGGCTTCTGGCACCGCTGAGTCCCGACAGCAGGCCTGGGCGGTGTGCGTTCCCTCCCGTGTCATGGAGAGGACACACTGAGGGTTAGCACGGCGGAGAGGCCAGCCCAGGCTCCACTGCCAGGGAGTGGGGGAGGGAGGATTTGAACTCAGATCCTTCTGACCCCGGTGCGTGAGGAGGAAGTGGGAAATCGGGTGTTTTCTTTCCCGTTGGGTGGCTGGCCACGTGTGGGCTGCTGTTACAAGGACCAGGGCAGGGCTGCCCAGAGCTGTCACCCCACGGCTTCTGGAGCAGCTGGTGAACAGAAGGCCCTGACTTCCTTCCACAGGGTCTTGCTTCCTGCGGACGGACCAGCTGGACGGGGAGACGGACTGGAAGCTGCGGCTCCCGGTGGCCTGCACGCAGCGGCTCCCCACGGCCGCCGTGAGTAGCCCTCCCTGCGGAGGCACAAACGGCCACTGACCACAGGGCTCGCAAACCGGGGCGCCCTCCGGGCCAGGCATGGGTGTCAGAGATGGAGGGGGCTGGTGGGCGTGTTGGGGTCCTGGGAGCCCTGAGTGCCGGCTGGTCCCACACACTGTGGCCACGCAAAACACAGACCCCGCGTGCGAGACAAGCTCTCCGAGGGAAGCTCAGCATCTTAAGAAACCTTGACCGGGACCTCGTGTCACAGGACAGGCAGGCCAGAGCGTGTCGTTCCTCTGCTCAGAACTCCTCAGCTTCTCAGCTCCGAGAACCCACCCCACAGGCCTCCTGGCACCCTCACACCCTGTGTCATCGTACGCTCTCTCTGCAGAGGCCCTGACCTCCGCTTCGGGCCCGCGCCCTTCCATGCTGAGGCCGCACCGGCCTCCACCAGGCGTGCTTCTGCCCCCCAGCACCTGTCCCTGCGTGTCTTCCCCTGGGAGCTGCCAGTCTGCTGGCTGGGCCCTCCATCATATCCTTAGGTCTTGTACACCGTGTCTTGAGGAGGCGTGCTCTAGCCACCTTCCCCCGGCATTCCCAGTCCTCTCAGGTCAAGGCCGTGTCTTTGAGAGCAGGGCTCTGCCCGGGACATGCACCGCTGAATTCCCAGTGCATGGAACAGCATTTAGGACAGTGTGTGGGACAGCATGTGGGCAGCGCGTGGAGGCGCATGTGGAACAGTGAATGGAATGACGTAACACAGAGCATGGAGCAGTGTATGCCCCGTGTGGAACTGCGTTTAGGACAGTGTGGAATGGCACCCGGACTCTCTCTAAGAGGGTGTGGTCTGAGCAGCTGGAACCGACAGGCGCTCACAGCAGGGGGGGGGGGGCTGCACCCCGGGGCCCTATAGTTCCCTGTATCACACCACGATCCGTGGAGCGAGGGAGGGAGAAGGTAGCCAAAGTGTAAGTCTAAACACAAGTCACACGGATGAAGTGGCCCGGGGACTAGGTTACGGAACCACAGAATGTAATTCTAATGCCTGCAGCCCAGCGTGTGGCCCCCACGGGGTCTGAAAGGGGTAAGCAGAGCACGCCAGCTGCTCCTGGGCCGGCGGTCACGGTGGTGGTGCCAGGCCTTTCCCGGCCCCCCGAGGAAGGAGGAAGCTCTGTGTCTTCATGGCGTTAGCGCAGCAATCAGAGTGCCCTTGGCACGTGTGGTTGGGCGTTGCCAATCTCAGGTGAGACGGTGCTGCTATTATTACTGCTCCTTAAAGCAGGAATTCTAGAGCAGCGAGTCTCTAATTGGTCAGGAGCCCTGGGACTCGGTAGACGGCGCCATGGCGTCCCCGAGAGGGGCTGGTCCAATGGGGCTCGGGCTTTCCCTGGGCAGCGTGTTCTACTTCCAGTAAAGCCTCTGCCAAGAAAGGCTTCTGACCTCAGAACGATCGAAGGCTCTCCTTGAGCGCGAGTCGAGAGCCGGGAGCCGAGAAGACACCTGAATGCACCTTTCCCCACCTGCCCGTCCTGTAGGCCTGCTGGCGTCAGGAAGAGCGGCTGCCTCCTGAGCCCTCTCCGATCACAGCCGGCTTTGTCCTAACTCCGCCTGTCACCCTGTCCCGCAGGACCTTCTTCAGATCCGATCGTATATCTACGCGGAAGAGCCAAGCATCGACATCCACAACTTCGTGGGGACGTTTACCAGGGTGCGTAGCTCCGCTCGCCCCGGACTCCCGTCTCAGAGTGTGTTCACGGTGGAAGCCCGCGGACACGGTCCGGGGTCTTTGCCAGGGAGAATCTCTGTGCGGGGGAGCGGGGGATAGAGTGGAAGCGGAGGGGGAGAGAGTGGAAGGGGGAAGGGGGATAGAGTAGAAGGGGGGAGGGGGATAGAGTGGAAGGGGGAGGGGGATAGAGTGGAAGGGGAAGGGGGAGAGAGTGGAAGGGGGAGGGGGAGAGAGTGGAAGGGGGAGGGGGATAGAGTGGAAGGGGGAGGGGGATAGAGTGGAAGGGGGAGGGGGATAGAGTGGAAGGGGGAAGGGGATAGAGTGGAAGGGGGAAGGGGATAGAGTAGAAGGGGGGAGGGGGATAGAGTGGAAGGGGGGAGGGGGATAGAGTGGAAGGGGGGAGGGGGATAGAGTGGAAGGGGGAGGGGGATAGAGTGGAAGCAGAGGGGGAGAGAGTGGAAGGGGGAAGGGGAGAGAGTGGAAGGGGGAGGGGGATAGAGTGGAAGGGGGAGGGGGATAGAGTGGAAGGGGGAGGGGGATAGAGTGGAAGGGGGAGGGGGATAGAGTGGAAGGGGGAGGGGGATAGAGTGGAAGGGGGAAGGGGGATAGAGTAGAAGGGGGGAGGGGGATAGAGTGGAAGGGGGAGGGGGAGAGAGTGGAAGGGGAAGGGGGAGAGAGTGGAAGGGGGAGGGGGAGAGAGTGGAAGGGGGAGGGGGATAGAGTGGAAGGGGAAGGGGGTGGGGGTTGGGCTGGGAGGGGATTCCCTTAGGAAGGCACCGCCTGACCCCTGACACTTTGTCTCTCGGTAGAGGCCACACAACTGCAGGTTCTGCAGCCTCTGAACAGCTGGGTTATCTGCCAACGTAGCCACGTGTTGTTCTAATTCATGCTAACGCTGATGTCTCAGCAGTTCTCTGTCTCCCTCGGATGGGCCTGCATCCTCTATTGTTTAGACAAGCCCTGCTTGCCATTGGTGTACTTTTTTTTAATCCTCACCCAAAGATACATTTGTTTATTTTTTTAACTTTAGAGGAGAGGAAGGTAGAGACAGATCTCAGTGTGAGAGAGAAATATCCGTTGGCTGCCTCCCATGGGCACCCAGACTGGGGATTGAACCTGCGCCACCTTGTGGTGTGTGTTCGGGGTGACGCTCCACCCGACTGAGCAGCTTGGCCAGGACATTGTTGTTTGTATATATTTGGTTACTCCTCCCCAAGGATATTTCCTATTGATTCTTACAGAGAGTGGAAGAGAGGGGGAGGGACGGAGAGATAGAAACATCGATGTGAGAGAGAAACATCGGTTGGTTGCATGTGTTCCCCCACCCCCACCCCCACCGTAGGCACCCGGACTGGGGGCCGGGCATCAAGCCTGCAACCGAGGATGTGCCTTTGACTGGATTTGAACCCGGAATGCTTCAGTCAGAGGGCCGATGCTCTATCCACTAGACCAAACCGGCCAGAGCAGTGATACTTAAAATTTTTTTTTTTTTAAATATACTTTATTGATTTTTTAACATAGAGGAAGAGAGAGGGATAGGATAGAAGCATCAATGAGAGAGAATCATCGATCAGCTGCCTCTTGCACATTCCCCACTAGGGATGTGCCCGCAACCAAGGTACATGCCCTTGACTGGAATTGAACCCGGGACCTTTCAGTCCGCAGGCCGACGCTCTATCCATTGAGCCAAACCGGTTTCTTAAAAGTTTTATTGATGTCAGAGAAGGAAGGGAGAGGGAGAGAGAGAGAAAAATCAAAGATGGGAGAGAATCACTGATTGTCTGACTCCTGCATGCCCCCACTGTGGATTGAGCCGAAACCTGGGCATGTGCCCTGATAGGGAATCATAGGTTGAGGACACCCTGGCCGGGCTGGGCAGCTATGCTTTTTTTAAAAAATATATATTTTATTGATTTTTTTAAAAATATGTTTTTATTGATTTTGTACAGAGAGGAAGGGAGAGAGACAGAGAGCTAGAAACATCAATGAGAGAGAGTCATTGATCATCTGCCTCTTGCACACTCCCTACCGGGGATATGCCCGCAACCAAGGTACATGCCCTTGACTGGAATCGAACCCGGGACCTCTCAGTCCCCAAGCCGACGCTCTATCCATTGAGCCAAACCGGTTTCAGCATATTTTATTGATTTTTTACAGAGATGAAGAGAGAGGGATAGAGACTTAGAAACACCGATGAGAGAGAATCATCGATCAGCTGCCTCTTGCAACACCTCCTACTGGGGATGTGCCTGCAACCAAGGTACAGGCCCTTGACTGAAATCGAACCTGGGACCTTTCAGTCCACAGGCCGACGCTCTATCCACTGAGCCAAACCGGTTTAGGCCAGCTGTGCTTTTTAAGCCACTTTCTCAACTCTTCGGAATAGAAATTAAATTTGGATTCAAGTTGCTTTAGGAACTTGGGACAGACAGGAGGGTTATAGAACCCAAATGAACTGTTCGTGCTGTCTTTCTGTGAGCCAGGAGACGGCCCAGTTTGATGGTTAGCTCTCAGCAGCTTGTCCTTGAATCGGGAGCCAGCCTTTCCAGGGGCTCCCATGGGGGTGGGCGCCCTGCGGACGGTTGTCGATGAGCGTGGCCCCTCTCTCCTGGCTGAGCTGTGGGCTTCTCACCAGGGGTCATCCTTCTGTACCGGTCTTGTGGGGTTTTTTTTCAAAACCTTGTTCCATCGCCCTGGCTGGTGTTTCTCAGTGGTTAGAGCATTGGCCTGCACTCCGAAGGGTTGTTGGTTCATTTCACGGTTAAGGCCAGGTACCTGGGTTGCAGTTTTGATCCCCACCCCCTGTCGGGACACATGATGGAGACAGCCAATCAACATGTTTCTCTCATAAGATATTTTTCTCTCCCCTCTCCCCTTAGCTCCCCTCTCCCCTCTTCCCTCTCCCTTCTCCCCTTATCTCCCCTCTCCCCTCTTCCCTCTTCCTTTATCTCCTTTCTCCCCTCTCCCCTCTCCCCTCTCCCTCCCTCTGTTTCACTCTCATAAAATCAATGCAAAGAAATATCCTCAGGTGAGGATGAACAAAACCCCCATACAAAGCGCCTTGCTGATCAGTGTGTGTCTGTCTGGCTTCTCGCAGGAGGACAGCGACCCTTCGGTCAGCGAGAGCCTGAGCATCGAGAACGCGCTCTGGGCGGGCACCGTCATCGCCTCAGGTGAGTGAGGCGGCTGCCCTGGCCGCGGAATGTGGTAGCAATTTGCAGAGGGAAGAAAATCCCCCTGAGTAATTAGAATAATCATCTGTCAGTTGGGAAAATTAGTCCTCTGTCAAATGGTGTTTTCCACTTGTTCCCGCACCTCCAGGGGCTTCTGCTGGTATCTAATTGCCCCTCGGACACTTAAGAGACGCCGAGCAGAGAAGCCGCTGTGGCCCCCGCTCTCTGCAGCCCCACTCCGGGAATAGCCTTAATTGCCGCTGCAGATTGACGGCCTAATCTGTGCCAGAGGCTGGCTCAGCCTGCACGTTCCGGCAGCCGGCCATGTCTGCGGGCTGCTGGTCCCGGGGGTACGGGGCTCCATGCACAGCCAAGGGCGGAGCCTCGACATGGAAACGCCAAGGGGACGTGGAAACCCGTGCCTTTCAGTTCTGAGCATGGTGCAGAGCTGAACAGAAGGGGTTCCGGGGGTGAGGTGGCCCGCAGCGGCAGCCGGCCCTGCTGATATCTGCGGGGCCCGCTGTCGGTCATGCTGGGTGACCAGCCCTTCCCACATTGCACTCAGTCCTCCAAAAGATGCCGTGAAGGACAGCGCTAGTGGTGTCCCCATTCTGCAGATGAGGAAACTGAGGCCTGTGGGGTTAAATAGCTCGTCCAAGGTCACACAGCAGGGAAAAGGTGCGTTGGGACTTGAGCCCAGGCACTTGCTCCAGAAGCAGAACTCGTTGTATGGGCCACTGTTAGTATGCAGTGTATAATGACTTACACTAACAACATGTAATAATTCTGCTGCTGGCAACTTTCTGTCTTTATTATCAGAGGAATCCATTTCTTTCCCTCTTCAGGAGTGAAACTCCCTCCTTTCGACCCGTTTTCCTCTGCTTGTTGGTTCTTTGTGGCTCATAGGAAAGCAGACACTCAGTCCAGATACTCTATGACAAGCATGTCAAACTCAAAGGGTAATGAGCCAAATACAATGAGTGGCCAGCTTATGATCTCTGAACGCATAGTAATCTGGCCACTCAGTGTATATCCTATATAATAAAGGGATAATATGCAAATTGTCCCCTTGACTAGGAATTTGACCAGCAGGCAGGCCAGCCAACCGCCCATGTCCTCTCCCCCCAGCCAGGCTGACCAGACCCCACCCAAGCACACCACGCACAGATTCGTGCACTGGGCCTCTAACACACACACACACACACACACACACACACACACACACCCCGAGTGGCTAGATTATTATGCGTTCAGAGATCATAAAAATCTGGCCACTCAGTGTAAATGAGGCATGTGGCCCGTGGCTGTGAGTTTGACATGCTTGCTCAGTGACAGGGAAGGGAGGGACTGGCACAAGAGAGAGCTCAGGCGGCCTGGCGGCTCTGCCCACGGAGATGAGCTGTCCCTATGGTTTCTGCCAGGCTTCTTCTCTCCAGGCTGTGTGGATTGGCAGCACCACCTGGCCGTCTCTCAGTCCCCCGATGACGAAAGGAGTGAGAAGTCAGTCCTGAAGATTCGGCACAGCCACTGCCCGGCCACAGCTTGGCTTCTAAGAGCCTTGATGTGTTTAATTCTGTCCTCGTTTTGATAATATTAATATTTCTGTGATAAGTGCCTGTGTCTGTTTGGTTTTCATTCTGGTGATTTTCCTTCCTTCCGTCCCGCTTTCCTTCTTCCTCTGAAGCAAACCTTGGGTGAACACCTTATTTAACCATGTCCTGCTCCATGGCCAGGTCCGGGTCCTGTGTGGAGGGGCAGGGAAGCCTGGTCTCCACTCTCCTGGGATCCGTAGTTGCTATATGTTTAATGTACGTTAAAGAGGAGACGGGGGAAGATAGGAGAGAGACTTCTATAAATTCCCTCTGAAACCACTAAAAAGGCAAATGGCTTAGGTGAAGAGGCATCGAATTCTGAGGTGGAGGGAGTGAGGCGGTGAAAGTCTGGTTGTCAGCTTTTACCTCAGAGACGAACAGTAGTCCTGTTCATCAGGCACTTTTTATTTACAGAGTGCTTTGCTGCCATATTCTTGTTTTGGTTTCATGTCATAAAATGAGGACATATGGAGTGCAGAATGGAGACTCAGAGAGATTCAGCAACGTGCCTGAGGTCACACAGCCTTAGCGGTCAACTCTTGGGAGGAGGAGAGTGGAAGGCGAATTGGGATTTTGAAGATGGGAAAAGATTTCGCAGCAGTTCACGGGAAATGCATTGTGGAGTTGGCATTCCCTTCCCCCCTCCCCCAGTTGTTTGAATTCATCTCTGTGTGCTTGGTGATGCGGGAAGAGGGAGAGAGCAGGGTTCCAGTGCTCCCGGGCATTGCCTGCCTCCCCCAGCGGACGCATGCTTTGGAGTGAGTCAGGAGCTGGGCTTCCAGCATGTCTGTCGCTGCCCCCGTTCCCCTGACTTCTCACTGCGCTCTGACTCTACTGCAAACACGGAGTCTAACGCAAGCCATTTCCTTCAAGTGCTCAGCGCAAGCAGCGGCCACCAAGAATCATCTTACCTGCATGGCATGTGGCCTCTGTGTTCCCTTCAGAATCTAACGCCTGAGTCTTGGTCACTCTGTTGGAAGTTTAAAAAAGAATGAAGCTTCCCCTGGTGGGTGTGGCCCCGTTGGCTGGGCCCCATCCTGTGCAGGGAAAGGTTGACGATTCAACTCGCCATCAGGGCACGTGCCTGGGCTGCGGCTTGATCCCCAGTAGGAGGCGTGCAGGAGGCTGCTGATCAATGTTCCGCTCTCATATTGAGGTCTCTCTCTCTCTCTCTCTTTCTCTCTCTCTTTTTCTATAAAGGATGTTTTTATTGATGTCGGAGAGATAAAGGGAGAGGGAGAGAGAGAGAAATAGAAACATCAATGATGAGAGAGAAAAAAATCATTAACCAGCTGTCTCATGCATGCCCTCCCCTGGGGATTGAGCCCACCATCCTGGCATGTGCCCTAACCAGGAATAAACCATGACCTCCTGGTCGACACTCAACCACTGAGCCACACTGTCTGAACTTCCTCTTTCTCTTAAAAAAATAAAAATAAATAAAGCATGCTAAGGTAGGTGCTGGGGGTCCAGCATTAATCGATAGAGGATGCAGTTGCCATGGTAACTCAACACAGTGCTGCTGGGTGAGGGAGGAGTCACCAGGGTGCTAAGAGGGAAGGGTAGGGGGAGGCGTGGCAGAGAAGGTGGCCGGGATGTAACAGAGCCCAGGTGTTCTAGCCCAGTTCTTCCAAGACTCTCAGTGGTGAGGGACCAGTTTGGTCTCTCCCATTCGCTCCTCTCCCCCGCAAATCTGTAGCCGATGGATCAGGTGTCGTGTGTGGCCAGCGGGCAGGTCACGCCTGTGCACCTTGCTACGTGCGTGTGATAATGTCCCCGGGTCAGCGGGGCCTGTCCTGTGACCGCACGCTCGGCGTCACAGGGTGCCTGACTGCCATAAACATTTCTGAACGCCGGCTCTCGTGGGCTCAGCACTTATCTTGTTGCTGACGGGGAACAAAGAGGTCGCAGGGAGGTCTGACCTGGGACCACACTGCTGAGCAGAGTTAGGAAGAGCTTCGTGACATGCTGACCACGGCTGTCCGGCTCCTGGGAGAGAGCGGCTGGGGGCCAGCTGGCAGGATGGGGAGGATTCGTGTTCGGGTGGGGGGCGCTGCAGAGGGCGAGGGACAGCAGAGGGGACAGCGTGGGAGGCGGAGTCCGAGGCCTGGGCCGGAGAGGCTGGGGTCGCATGCGGAAGGTGGACCCCGTGTCACCAGATCAGCCAGAAACCTCCATCGCTTAAATGAAAGCTCCCGCCCTTAAAAGCTGCCGGCGACTTCAACACCTTAAAGCACCCTGCAGACCAAGCCAGCGCTCCGCTGCAGGCCGGCGTGGGCCTGCTGTCTGGGCGGTGAGGCCGCTTTGGATCTGGTGGTGACGGTTTTGGTCTTGAGCACAGGGAGATGTTGGGGGGAAAGCCACTTCAGCAGCATCAGGCACTGGTGCCAGTGGGGGGCCCTCCCTTGGGGGGCCCTTGATATTAACAGGGGTTACAGGAGAGGGGGAGGAAACAGGAGAGTTCCGCGCATTTCCTGGGAAACCTCATGCACCTGGACTTTGGACCTGGAGGCCAGCCTGGAGCGGGTGAGCTCAGCCCAGGCTCGGCTCCCACTGCTCACCATCTGCCGTGGCCACACCTGCGTGCACGGGAGCCTGCCACCTGCGGGGAGCGGCCAGCGACTCCCCAGCCTGCCATCTGCCGCAGCCTCCCTGCCCGGAACCGCCTCGTGCAGAACACGGAGCGCTAACCTGGAGGGACTTCCGTGCCTCCTCCTGGGCTCTGTCCGGGAGCCGCGGCCCACACTGCATCCGGGCCAGCTCTTTCCTGGGCTGTGCTTGCGTCTCTGAGTGTTTGTACAGCCTCCGCCAGTGTTCCTCAGAGGACAGGAGGCTAGGCGTTTGCTTTTCCAGTGGACACACCTGGGGTCTTCCTGAGAGGTTGGCAGGGATGACCCTCCTCATGTTTCAAATTTTAGTTCAGATGTTTAGTTCACCTTCTCAACCCAGCAATAGCTTCTCTGACATCCAGTACCAAGTGCAGCCTCCCCCTCTTCAGCTCCTCCCTAGTCTCTTCCTCCCTGGGCCTCCTCCTCAGCCTCCTCCTTTGGGGCCTCCTCTCCTGTCTCTTTCTCAGCTGTTTTCATCATGGCACCTAGCACTCTCATTGTTACCATGTCTCTTGCTTCCCTCCATGATTGTCTGTCTTCCCCACTGTGTCGAACATTTTCTTGGCACACACTGAAAAGGGAAACAAAGGTAAATATTTGATATTGTTAATCCCCCCTCCCCCCACCCCCCAAATAGCTTGTCCCAATTCATGTTCCAGCCAACAGCATGTGCAGCAGGGCCCATTCCCCACCTCTTGGCTAACACTGGACACCAGTCTTCGGAGTTTTTGTTGCTATGATAGGGATAAAAATGGCTTGTCTTGCATTTCTGTGATTGTTCACTAGGTTGAGTAACTTT